GTTTAAATTCGGAGGGATTCCCAATTCACCACTATCAGCCCCATCGTGTTAAATATATGAAAATCTCCCAATTTTGGACACACCGACAGTGGATGCACCCTCAGCCCAGTCCTGCTCGTGAACCAGCCCGGCCACGCTCTGATGTTTGGGGGCGTTCAATGAGAAGCAGCTACTTAAGCAGTTAAAAAAAAACCCCTGCAAGTTTATTTTAGCAACAGATATGAAGGTTCTTACGGTTTGCTGGCGATACAAACACCGCCTGCAAAGCACCTAAAAATATTGGTAATAGTACAAAGCGTGCAATAAAGTTACAAACAACACAGCCTGGCTATAAATGTATAAATCTCTAGAGAAATTGCTAAATTTCCTGAGGAAGCACTTGGTAGAGTCTAAGTCTTCCCCACGGGTGTCCCTATGGGGGGGAAGAGAGGCTCAGCCCCTCCACTGGTCCCAGGAGTCCGTGATGGGATCCTCCCTGACTTATGATGGTGTCTTCCCTAGCATCCCCCCTTTTTTGGGTTGTTTTTATACTATTTTTTACCTTCAAGGTGGAGTTGGAGTGACTTTAGTCATAAATACTTTTATGATTGGTGTTTCTTGCCTCGCATTTATAGGTATAATTTAGGAAAAATTCAGGGTGCAGACTCAAGGAGGAGTGGTGGCACTTTGGAGGTGGATACCCTTTGGGCTGGAGGTGTGTTTTGGGATCAGAATGACATTAGAATGAGCAAAGTTAGCACAAAGGACAGCATTTCATCAAAACCTGACAGGCTGTTGGCTCAGGGCGGCAAGCATGCCATTTTTCAGTTCCATAGGATCACCTTGTTCCCAGATCTGCTGTGTAAACCCAGAGTTTGGCCGTGGAATTTTCACCCCACTCCATCCTCCGCGTGGCTTTTGGAAGCACTATTGTGCCAGGAGTCAGGGATGGAGCAGATTCCTCCCGTATTTACTCTGGAAATGCTTTTATTTTATACTTTTCCTTCGTGCGCAAAGGATGCGATGTATTTTTAACAAAAATTCTCATTTTAGGAATTATTCCACACCCCCTCTGACCAGGCACCCCCCTCGTCACACCCCGTCCCCGTGGGACACCCGCGTGGGGTGGACCTTGCCCTCCAGACAGAGTTTGGACCCGGAGCTGCAGGGCTGCAGGGGATCCGTTGCCCACATGGAGGTGAGCCCCGGGGTGGTGGAGAACACCCCCCCAGCTCCTTCTCCCCCTACTTCCACCCCTTTGGGGGGGTTTCCCGTGCCCCACCACCCCCCTCTCTGTGTCACCAGGTCCCCAAGAAGCTGGTGAACTCGGTGGCCAGCTGCGCCGACGAGGCTCTGGCCGGGCTGGTGGCTTGTAACCCCGGGCTGCGGCTCCTGCAGGGACACCGGGTGGTCCTCCGAGCCGACTTGGTGGCCATCCGGGGTCGGGTGGCCCTGTTGTCCGGTGGGGGCTCCGGCCACGAGCCCGCCCATGCAGGTGAGGCCCCCCTCACCCCAACCCTACCCACCACCGTGAGTCGGTTGCCCCCCCAGCACATCCCTGAGCCACCCCAGTCCCCTTTCTCCACAGGGTATGTCGGCAAGGGCATGCTGACCGGCGTGGTGGCTGGTGCTGTCTTCACCTCACCGGCTGTGGGCAGCATCTTGGCGGCCATCCGGGCCGTGACACAGGCTGGGGCAGGTAGGGTGACACGGCGGGGTGTGGGAGACCTAATAGCAGCCTTCCAGTACCTGAAGGGAGCCTACAGGAAGGCTGGGGAGAGCCTGTTTAGAAAGGCCTGGAGTGACAGGACGAGGGGCAATGGCTTCAAGCTGGAGGGGAACAGATTCTGCCACTTTGCTCTGCTCTGGTGAGACCTCACCTGGAGTGTTGTGTGCAGGTCTGGAGCCCTCAATAGAAGAAGGACATGGACCTGATGGAGAGGGTCCAGAGGAGGGCCACGAGGATGATCAGGGGGATGGAGCACCTCTGCTCCGAGGACAGGCTGAGGGAGCTGGGGTTGTTCAGCCTGGAGAAGAGGAGGCTCCGGGGAGACCTAATAGCAGCCTTCCAGTACCTGAAGGGAGCCTACAGGAAGGCTGGGGAGAGCCTGTTTAGAAAGGCCTGGAGTGACAGGACGAGGGGCAATGGCTTCAAGCTGGAGGGGAACAGATTTAGACTGGAGATGAGGAGAGGGTTCTTCACTGGGAGGGTGGTGGAGCACTGGAACAGGTTGCCCAGGGAGGTGGTTGAGGCCCCATCCCTGGAGATATTCAAGGAGAGGCTCGACGAGGCCCTGGGCAACCTGGTCTAGTTGGGGGTGTCCCTGCTGACTGCGGGGGGGTGGGACTAGATGGCCTTTGGAGGTCCCTTCCGGCCTGGACAACTCTATGATTCCATGGGTTGGGGGTGGGAAACTTCGACCCCCCCTGCCGTGGCTTCCCCCTCCCTGCTTTTCTCTCTGTGTGTCCCCCCTCCTCCTCCTCCTTCCCCACCACAGCCGGGACCCTCCTGATCGTGAAGAACTACACCGGGGACCGGCTCAACTTCGGGCTGGCTCTGGAACGGGCCCGGGTGGAGGGGGCCGACGTGCGGATGGTGGTGGTGGGGGACGACAGCGCCTTCGCCGCCCCCAAAAAAGCCGGGCGCCGGGGGCTCTGCGGCACCGTCCTCGTACACAAGGTCCGTAGGGGTCCTCAGACACAAACATCCCTACATTTACTTTGTAGTAAAACCCCCCAGTCTCAATGAACGTTAAGGGAATACGTAATTAAAACATCATATTATTAACTGTGTTAATTAAATACGGTATGAATAACTGAAGGAAAAAAAAAGTGTAGGTGGTGGAAAGGGGTGTTTGTTGTTTTTCCTATAAAAAGGTGGAGGACATTAAACACTGTTATTGTGTGCCATGCATCACATCTGTACTCTCAGGCACTATTCAATCTATTTGGAAGAAAATAAAGTTTTACAGGACAGCTTCCACTGCAGATGGGAAAGCAAGGAACATACTCAGTAGTATCACTCTTAGACAGGACGTTTCTAGTGTTATTACATTCTTTTGAAATTAAATACATTTGGAAAGGTAAGATTTTGTCTAAAACTGAGAAGTTAATTTACACAGAAACATCCTATCAAGAAAATTCTAGGTTCCTTTTATTTGTACTCAAGTTTTTCACTTACGAGTCCAGAATAATGATGGTATAGATTAGGCATCAGTAAGTTACTACAGACCAAAGCTGGAAAGATGTGATTTAACAGAATGTTAATTGAGCACCCGGAATGCAAAATAAGAGGTACCTAGAGAACAAAGTAAAATATTGTTATCTTAAGAAGTAATAGCTGAAGACCCCCTGACAGCAGAGAGCTCACTTAGGGAAGTGAAGGGCACACTATATCCATTTTCGCAGTATTTCCATCACAGACTATGACAATCCATCATACAAATCCCTGTGGCAATCCCTGGTATGTCCCCGGGGACATACCCCCACCCCCCCTGGCATCTCCCTCGGGGTGGGGGGACGGGGCACATCTGTCCCCTCAGCCACGTCTGTCCTTTGCAGGTGGCGGGGGCCCTGGCCGAGGCGGGGGCCAGCTTGGATGAGATCGTGGAGAAGGTGTCGGCGGCCACCAAAGCCATGGGTACACACACAGGACCCCTTTGTCCCCTGTGCCTTGTCCCCTGTTCTCCCCAAGTCCTGGGGGAAAATCAGAACACTCCCCCCCCCCCCCAACCCCCCCCCAACC